ATAATATATATATATATACATATATATAATATACACGCACACACTTTTTGTTTTGCTCTTTCTCTTTTTTGTTCCTCCTCCTTTACTTCTATATATAATCATCACCTTACCATCATCATTCTCTTCTTCGTTTTGTTGCTGTTCTTATTCTTCCTCCTCCTCGTCATCACCGGCTTCCTCCTCATCCTTCTTCTCCCCCTTCTCTCCTCCTCCTCCCCTCCTCCTCTTCCCTTCCTCCTCCTCCTCCACCTCTTCTCCTTTCTTCTCTTCAGCTCCTCTTTTCCTTCTCCTCCTCTTCTCCCTCCTCACCACCAGCTCCTCCTCCTCCTCACCATCATCATCAACATCATTTTCTTTTCTTTTTCTTTTTTTATACAACGCGGAAGAATAATGACGTACGCTGGTCTTAGAACAATACTGCAGCGAGTATGTACAGGATCCCTTACATCCGCTACAGAACGCAGTGCATGTCGTATTAAGTACTGCACTATCTACAGTATGTGAGAAGATAGAGAGTAAATGAGAAGGTAAAGGAGCTGCAACAAGAGGAGGGGGAGGAGGAGGGAGGGGGAGGAAGGAGGAGGAGGAGGGAGGGGAGGGGGAGGAGGGAGGAGGAGGAGTTGGAAGGGGAAGGGAGGTGGAGGAGGAGGAGGAAAGGGAGGTGGACGAGGAGGAGGAAGAGGGAAGGAGGTAGGAGGAGGAAAGGAGGAGGAGGGGAGGGATGAGGAGAAGAGGAAGGAAGTAGGAGAATGATGATGAAGAGGAAAATGAATGAAAATAAGAATAAGAATATGGGTAAGAATAAGAATATGAATAAGGAGAAGGAACGAGGAGGACGGGGAGGCTAAGAACAAGATGAAGGCAAAGGAGAAATAGAAGGAGAAAAAGGAATAAAGGTAGCAAATAAGAAGCAGACAGAGACGGAGAAAAAATGAGTGACAAATGAAACCTGTCGTTCGTTGTTCTTATCGTTGTCGTTTTGCTGTTGGCATTGTTGCTTTTATGTGTGTGCGTGTGTGTGCGTGTGTGTGTGTCCTTCTATTCCATATCATAATTTCGTGATTTTTTTTTGTCTTTGAAGAATGATATTGCCACAATTCATTCCCTTCTATAGCAGTTAGGGAAAGACTTTGGATACCCAACAACAATTTGAACTCGTGTGTGTGTGGAGGGGCCTTGTTCTCCCAAAATATCATAGTTACGCTTTTTTTTCTATAAATCAGGAAGGATTTGTAAAGCTTTGAGGGAAGGGTGGGAGGGAGCGTGGATGTAAGAGCAACTACAAGAGGGAGCGTTGGGGTAAAATGTTAAAGAGTTGCTCGTATATAACAGCAGATTTCTTTCCTCATTAACACTGAGTATTATTTTAAGTGATTCTTGCATTTTTGCAATATGATTTTCTATCAGAAAGAGTGGGGCATCATTTACTGATCGGTATTAGTAAGTACAAGTAGCCATGGAAGTATCATTTCTTCTCCTTTTTACTATGATTCATTTCTTTGGAACTAGAATAAATTACATAGAACGTAACTATGTGAATT